ACCCCCCCCAGCAAGGGTGCTCCCCGGAGCTCCCCGCAGCCCAAAAGGCACCAAAAAACCCCCAAATCGCCCCAAAGTTGTCCCCAAAGCGCCGCTGTCCCCGCGGCGGGGGTGACCCCCACACACACGTAGGAACAGCAGCGGGGGGGACCCTCGCGCGGCGCCCCCACGCGCTGGGGACACTGCCAGGCGGGTGGGACGGGGCCAAGATGGAGGTGCCGGGGCCGCGGGACAGCGCGGCGCGCACAGGCGTCACCCCCAAACGTCACCCGGCGCTGGCCTCCCTAACCCAGTTACTCTCTCCTTTTCTTTTTCTCCTCCTGGCAGTGTTTATCTCTGTACGACGTCGGGGGGATTTAGTTTGTACGCGAGACGAGCTCTGTTCGAAATAAAGTTATATCCTGTCTGTGGTCTACCACCTTCTCCTCACCCCCAGCTCGCTGCCATGTTTCGCAGAGGGTAACGAGATGGCTTTTAAAACTCGGAATTCAGTATTAATCTGCTATTTACCCCCCCTGCCCCAGCTTGTCTTTCTGTCTTTGTGATAAGTGTCATCAAAACTTAAAGAGAAAAAAAAAAGTACATGTATAAGCCACATACACGGTGACAGTTACTGTAGTAAGAGAATATTGTCCGTTTAAGTRTTGAAAACTAACTTCAGAAATACTTTGCAGCACTTTTAACAGGACATTCCAAGCAAAAAGTATAGGTGAGGAAAGATAAGGACTTTCTGCCTTAAGTTGAAAAAGTGCCTTGAAAACAACTGCAAAACAACTTAGAAATTGGTGATTGTTAGATTGCAAATTGTTGGATCTATTAGTTGCATACTATTAAATGCAGGGAAAAGTTTGTAAAATACTTGAATACTTTTCCTGGCTGCATCCTAAGCAGAAAGTTTTAAGAAAAATACCTGCATCATTTTTTTCTAGTGGGCAGCCTTCTTTTAAACTTTAGGTAAACTTGAGCTTTTCTTCCCACTCTGATTGCTACAGATGACTTGGTTTTTTAGACTTTTTCAAGAGTTTAAGGACACCAGAACTGAACCATAATGAATACACATACTGCTCAGTAATAAGTAAATCTTCCCCAAGGAAAAGCAGGTGATGGGACCACGCARAAGTAGTTGAAGGTAGTTCTGTGCCCCCGAAATGCTGCGGTCCGCGGCCGCTGTGCCAAGCTGCTCCCGGCCTCCTGCTTGGCTTCGTTCTGAGCATCTGCATTTCTTGTCGCCGTGAGAGGTTTAGAGGGTCTTGCGTGAAGAAATGAGTCTGTGAGCACAGACCTGGGAACTACAGATTTACCAAAGCGGGTAGGGAATTGAAAAGTATTAGTAGGGATGGTGCCAGAGCGGTGATGAACATGGAATTAGTGTCCTGTTTTTAAAGCATGGGGCCGGTCGCATCTTTTGACATTTTTGCTTGCGGAGTTGGGCAGTGTCGTGGGCCGCCGCCGGTGCGAGATCTCTGTGCGGCTCTTCTGGGCAGGACAGGAAAGGTGAGAAAATTTGAGGAAAAAACTATTCAAAAAGTTATATAAAAGATATTTCCATCGCCAGGCTTGCTGGTAGTGCTCTGCGYTCGTACCAACTGCAGGATTCGGGCTCATCTGCCTTTCTGGGCTGACTCAGAGTATCTCGTTTCACAGTTTTGGTGTGCAACCAAAAATATCAATGAGTGTTGCAGCCAAAGAACAATGAGGGAAGACACGCTGTAAGCAGAGCCCTTTGCTGACTAATTCCCTGCGCTTCAGAGCGAGATAGCATGTGTTTTTTCTGCAAACTTTTATCAGTGCTGTTTCTTACCCAGGCTCGAAGCCTTTGAGCTGTTTTGCTGTGTAGGTAAAGGTAGTTTGACCATAGAAAACAGCTGAGTGTCTTCAGATGCCAAAGGTCTTGCCTTTGGTTGCATATGCTTGCCTTCAGAATGGGATAATAAGTGTTTTAGTTAGACCTAAGTAAAATAAAGAACATCAACCTATCATAATCAGAGGAGAAGTTACTGTTCTTGAGTTCTTCCTTGAAATTGGAGGAGAGAGCTTAAAAATCAGCATGGAAAGATAAAAATGASTGTTGTCTGACTGAACGCTCCCTGCCTTCTCACTTGGCTTGTTGCTTTTAGTCAAATAGTTTAGCAAAATAAGCACAAGAATGCTGCTTGTGAAACATATTCTCGCGGAAAGCAGCATTTCCCTAGACATAGATGCTCGGAAGTGCTACTGCCCCGTTGATGTAGTTGTTCTTTATTATTGTTTCATTTAACCAGGTATGTTGTATCAGCCGGGGCATCAATTGACCCTTTAGGTGTCTGCTGCGTAGAGCAGACCTGTTCCTTGCTGCAAATGAGCAGCCGGGGTGTTGCTGACAAGGCAAAACACTGGGATGGTTTCTGCAATATTCACTTTCTGGCTGCCTGGCACRGAAAACCAGGAGCTTTATGCTGCTGGAGCTACCAGGTGAATTTTTGTGATTTTTCCATCTTTTTATCGTTCCCTTTACAGCACACAGCATGAGTCCTTATTTCTTATCTCTGAGAAATTCTGTAATTTATATGGAAGCAAACCCACTTATCCAATAACATTAAAGCAGGCTGGAGAAAATGGGACGATAGTAGATGTTTGGTGGTCGTATTGGTTTTGGGTCAAAAGGACCCCAAACRAGTAACTTTGTGCTTGGGTCACATTCTCGACGTTTAACCTGTTGTTCCTACTCCACAACAAATTTGGCATCGCAGGCGCCGGTATTAAATCAAGTAGTTTTTTTTCCTAACTAACAGATTTCACAATTCTTTCGAAAGTACCAATTAAACTACACACCGTTTTATTTTTAATTTATAAATAGGCATCTCCAAATACCATCTGAGCCCAAATATGGTTGCCTGAGTTGCTATACGTAGATGAGTTAAACTATCCTTCAACAACTGATTTATATAACTGAAATAGCTAGGGAAGTGAGAAATTTCCTTCCTTTTAGGATACAATGCCAAGGATGTTAAATCTCTGGAGACTCTGAAGATAAGAATTGGGCTGTCCTTTTTTGGAGTTATTAAACAAGGACAGGCCTCCTCTGCGGAGGGGAGAAAGGTGCTTGGGTTGGGTGAAATTGTGGACGGGGTGGCTTTTCCTGAGAGCCGTCTCTTGGCAATGCGCTGGGAATTGTGCGTAATGGGTATTAGTAACTAATGGCAATGTGTGACGCCCCCCCATCCCCAAAATTTAAGATTATTTTGGAAGATGGAAAAAATCTCTTGGGACACAGGCGGTGTGAAGGTTTCTGCGAGGGTCGTCCCAGCAGCTCGAGCAGCCCMGGGCAGGTTCCCAGCTCAGAACTTGCGTGAACTTTAAGCAAGCACGGAGGTGGTAGTGGCTTTGGGAATACCTTTCCTTTGGAGTCTGCCTGAAAAATAGGATCAGTAACGACCGATCCCGTCAATCCTAAATCTAGAAGTGAATCTAATTTATAATTCGTACTTTGCAGAGGGAAAGCAGGTTATGGAGCTGAGCTGGTAGGGTTGTGTTGGGGGGAGCGAGGGGAGGCGAGTTCTGAGAATGTCAGAATTGATGTGCGCTATGGGGCAAGATTGGTGCTTTTTACACATGATATATATATATAATACGTCCTATTACCGCACAGAATGATGCTAGTAAGTGCCTATATTAAGCAGAGTATAAGACTCAGATAATCCTCCTAAAAATACCAAGGTTTTCCATATGCAGCATACTTCAATAACAACCTGTCTTATCTAGTCAACTCCATTTAGATCAATAAAACCTAGTTATCCTGTCTTAGACCTTTGGCTTTGCATCCATCTGTCCATCATTGCCTGTGATATAATTGTAGTAGAAGGCTCTATTGACACCTCTCTGTTGATATCAGGAAAAGAGACAACTCTTTGAGAGTTGGAGGACTTGGAATRTTCTTTAAAAACTGAACAGCGCAAGTTATAGTAAACTGAAAATACTGAACTGTCACACTCCTGTTCACCTATGAAAGGTTAAAAAAYGGTTTGAGACATACAGATAACTTGCTTGTTTGGGTTTGATGTGATACAAACTTTATATAAAGTCCATTCTAATCAAGGAGAGGATTTTGCAACAGAGAAGGCATAACTGCGTGGATGAAGCTGCAGTGCAGTGTTGAGCCCTGCACGGGTATCTTGAGAAACCAGCAGCAGTTGAAATGCTGAGCACTGCCTTTCTCAACATTAATGAAAACTCAGCCTTATTAAAGGATGGTATTCTGATTTCTTAGTCTAACTTCTATGGTAGTCACTCCTGAACCAGAATTGTACTACGTTATCTCTTGCCTCTTGCTGGATCGCTAGATCT